TCTATTAATTAACATAATCTATTATTTAATTTTTTTAACATCTGGTTTGTATTAATTAACATAATTTATTGTCATTGAATTGTTTTAAATATATTATGAAATGTTAAATTTTATTAATTTTTAAACATGTCCCTTTTGCTCATTTTCCATTTTTCAACTAGCTTATCAACTAGTTTTTGCAAAACATGTTTAGTTCACCAACTAGCTTAGCTAGTTTGCCAAAAGTAGCCTAATTCCTAAATGAGTCACTACAGAATTCAATCATCGAGGGAATGGACAGACACATGTAAGGATAGTCAATAGTAAAATCACACAGAGGGATACACCAACATCTTTATGTGAAGATAGACAACACCGAATCAAGAAACTAAACATCAGCAAATAAACTTCTCTTTTGTTGAGTATTGTGTCACTAAGGGGCCGTTTACCAAACGCTTACCCGGGTTAGCAATTACCAAGTCACATTACCTTACCGGATGAAAATGGCAAGGACCAAGAATCTTACCCGGTAAGTGAGGGTGCGACTCTTACTACGGTCAGCGCTTACCGGGTAAATTCTTGCATACGATACCGTTTTGGTGGACTAAAATCTTAAGCGGTAGGTAAGTGATACTGTGATAGCGTTGAACTTTGCCGGTAAGCGGTAAGCACTTAACAGGGTAAGCGTTTGGTAAACGGCCCCTAACTTCAATTAAAGCCATATTTAAGTAGGCATTGAATAATCCTATTCAAAAATACAAAAATAAGACAAAGTGTACATGCAGATTTAACTATGTAGTTCATACCTTGTTCAATCACTCCTGAAGAGCCTGGGCAGGATAAATTTCCATCTGTTGCATCCTTGGGTGTTATATGTGCCAAATCGCATGCATGTTCATCATGTTCTTCCACTGTTATATCAACTTTATTGGATATAAAAGTTGGTTCACTTTTTGCACTCCCAAATGATTTACCAAAACCTGGCTCCTCAGGCTGTGTGATATCATCTAAGAGCAAAACAGCAAAAAAATAAAGTGAAGTTTCAACATTCCAACCAAGAATGTTCACTAGAACTCCTAACATAAAGCAACAAGATATCCAACGAGCAAAGTAATCCAAGCATTCTCTCTGCAAAAGTATGCATTTATTCAATGTGCATAATAAGATTTTACTTCGGCTGTGATATGAATCTTCAAAAACATGAAAACCTTAATTACAACCATTAGCTTCGCTCTTTCATATAACTTACGACACCATTTGAACTAATATATTACACAGCATCCCAAGTACAACCCCTTCCATACGATGAGGATTCCTCTTCATGTAAGAATATACAAAAAAAATATGATGTGAACTCCGGATGCACACTTATAGAAGAATTATTTTTGTTCTGATTATCTTAACCCTCATACAGACCAAAAAAAGCCAGAAGACATGTATCAAACACCAAGGCAGGGCTTTGAAGCACCACAAGGCGCAAGCAATATGTTGTAGATGTCTAGATGGTATGCAATGTAACACAGACAAAAAGTCTGTACACTGTAAATAACTTGAAATCCACTGGCGCATATGAAAAGAGAATCCAGGAACGAAGCGTCTTTCTTTGCTAAACATAGACAAACAAAGTTACAAGTTACAACTAGATTATCCTACAAATTGCCTATATTTTAAAATGATCCTGTGTTGAAAACTTGATCCGAGTATCTAACTGAATGGTGCAGAAAGAGCCTCCGCCGAACACAGGTTATTGAGCTAGCATACATGGTAATAAAATGAACATGTATTCCTTCTCCGACAAATCATAAATGCAAAGAGATGAAAAAGACTTGAGAAAGGCAAGTAATTTAGTGCTTTACCAGATGATCATGTCCTCGTGAAAGGGACAAAATAGCATTCACAGAGATGTAGGCCTCAATGAAGCTAAGTACATGGCCAATATAGAGTTACAGGGGGCTTCAAATACATATTATTTTCCAATTGGCATGCTAAACTCATAACATTGTTTAATATGCTCTGACCACACAATGGGTGCATAAACATTTTAACTTAACAAGTTTTTGCATGATGTATCCTTGAACAGATTTGGAAAAGAACAAAAGAAGATAAGCATGTGTGTATCCTGGTGCATAGCTGCCCAACATGAGTTTGATAACTGATTTTGGAAAGACAGCTGCTAAAGCATTGGAGGTGGTAATTTTTCTTTGCTCTTAATTGTGGCTACCAGAAGAAAGAAAAAGAAAACTACTACCACCTGCTCCATGTGAGAATCGAAACGATTACCGCAACAAAAGCACCAAAGCGAATTCTAAAAAGTAATTACAACAACCAAACTGTGTCCAAGAATCTAAGATGATGCTAAGCTACTAAAAGCAGTATAGATAGGTTAGTGGAAACAAATGGAAAACCACAAAGCGCCAACTTAGACCAGGAAATCTACAAAAATGTAAGTACTGAGAGTGAGTCTTCACTATATATGCAAACAAAAAACCCTTAAAAGTAAATCTTTGATAATAAAGATGGTCTAACAAGGAACTGAATGCAACATGACAACATGCACATAGATATCAGAGATGGTAGATAACAAGTAAGAGCAAAGAGAAATTCATGCACGGGATATGAAGCGATGATATTACATCACAAAGTCACATTCCAAGACTAAGGGACCGTTTACCAACAGTAACCGATTAAGAGTCACCACCTGTCATTTACCTTACAAGGAGTAGGTGTAAATCTTGAATAATGTAGCATGTCAAGGTCAAGAATCTTACCCGGTGAGGTTAGTGACTCTTACCCGGTTAACACTTACCGGGTAAGAGATACTTACCAACAATCTTAATGTGTCATCAGGATGACTGGAATCTTACCCAGTAAAGTAAATGAGGGTGATGACTCTTACCCAGTTATCGTTGATAGACGGACCCTAAAACTGCTGGTAAAAAGGATGAAACTTGATATTTGTATAATAGACAACGGTTGGATAAATAATGACACCAAACCATAAGAAACATCAATTGTATGCACTCACTTAATTCTCCAGAGAGATACTAACAAAAAGAAAGATTGTTTTTGCAAGATAAACAAATTGTAGTTGACAATTTAAATTAAACTAACCTTCCATATCCATGTCGGAACCGGCAGGGGAATGAGATTTGCCTGCATGCATTGAGCCATCAGGTTGCACAGAAGAGCCAACTCCTGAAGGTTCTAAAGATATATTCCTATTATGCCTCCCTTCAAGCAATTCACTTGAACTACAATTCTTTTTCATCCATTTAAAATACTCATGTGAAATAGCAGCTTCACTTCCTGGTGCTCCTCCAAACAAAAATTCAAACTCCGGATTATCAACCTCCTTTTGGCGGGTCATGTCTTCAAATTTGTGACCGTTCTTAGCAATATACTGGCATAGAACTTCAATCTTCCGAACAATTTTCTCGTCTCTAGGCCTGGGTGGAGGTAGAGGAATATCCGACATACCTTTCACACTCGTAGCAGAATCATTAGGAGCTGTGCGTTTTATACTGTTATCATGTCTGAGGGTCTCATTACCTCTATGACCATCACAATTGGATCTATCAATTATACCAGAAGCCACCATGTCAACACCAGAAGGCTTTCTAGAAGTTGGACCAAGTTCAGCAGCTGTAGTGAGAGATTTGGAAGACGTACAAAGGGGAGAACTGGGAGGGGGGGAAGAAGGAGGCAGAGGTGGAGGTCCAGGAGGAGGAGATGATGGTGGAGGCGGCGGCGGCGGTGGTGGTGGTGGTGGTGGTGGTAGGTGACCCAAAGAAGATTCATGGGCTGGCTGTACAAATGATCCAAAAGGAGCGGGTGTAAAGTAACTTGAAGCGGGTGGAGGAGGTAGTAGTGGTGGGAGCTGTTGAATACCCCGTATTCCCCCAGGCAGTAATGGAGGAGCTGGGACTCTATAAAAATGCTGTCCTTGTGGATGTGGTGGTGGTATTCTTGGAGTTAGATGATGACCAGGAGGAGGAATTGGTGGAGAAATGTGTTGATTTTGATTCCAGTTGGAATTCTGTGGGGCAGCTGAGTAGGAATGTGGTGTTGAGGTGCTTACACGCGCATGAGTTGGGGGCAGAGGAGGCGGAATCAAGTAAGACTGACTTGAGCTCAACATTCCACTTGGAGGAACCGAAACAGGTGGACCTAGCTGCATCGAAGCAGAAGAGGCATGGGCATATGGAGGGGGGGCTGCTTGTCCAGCATGAGGTGGAATAGATGGATGACCCTGTTGAGTTACAGGATGTTGGGAAGCTGGGGGTCCTTGTTGGAATGGGGGAAGGGGAGGTGAAGGGAGAGCTGGAAAACGCTGCCCAAACTGCTGATAATTCCCCTGATTATACATAGCAATTGGCTTAAATTGCTCTTATACCTCAGAGACTGCAACTTCCAGAATATACTAACATTTGCAGCAACAAAGTAATAAGCAAAGCCTCCGTTACAACCCTATCAACTGTAAATGAAGCTGGTAAGATCAAGCTATAAAATGTTCACTCATACAGAACCATTTCTGGTTAACAAAAAAACAGAAGAATGCAATAATATATATTACTGCTTTATCTAGCATAAGCAGTTTTCCCTTTACCTGCTACAACTTGAATCTTGTTATACCATTGTGCAACAAGCATGAATTTGTTTCTCCATGAAGACAATAAAAAAGGTAAAAGAAATGAAAAAAGAAAGACAACACCACTTACCTACAGGCTAAATAAAATACTATTAGGAGGCCTATAATTTACCATATGCTACAACTACCATCAAACAATTAAACATCCACTCTCTTTTCTTCCCTTTTCCTCACAAATCTAACACAACCAGCATTCCAATCAAGTGTTGGAAAATCAATCGACATAACTACATAATCAACACTATATTATATTATGCTGAAAAGAGAAATGGTATAGAACTCCTAGTAGCAAACAGATGATTAGCTAAACGGATAAAAACAATATTTAAACTCACATACGAATTTAATCAGTTTCTTACTATCAAACTAAATAACTTTGTACTGAAAATGCACCAAACAACTCAGTACCAAAAGATCCTCATTTTGTGAAATCTTTACATAAAATGCCCAGTTAGTACTTAATTCAAGTCTACTGCCATCGAACACTCACTCTCTCGTCCCATCAAAAGAGCAACACCTTGAATTTGGATGTCAAAGGTATAGAATGATACTGGCATTGAACTTCCAGAAGAAAAAAGTAGTAACTGCATTAAAAGTAATAGCAAGAACTAGAAAATGAGCATGGTTGGCTTAAATTTACAAACAAAAATTTAACAATTTGTGAAATTTAGGCACTGGGTTTTTTCGTAGAAAGTCTGATCATGGCTCCTTTTCTGGGAAGAAGGAATTATATGTTACTATTCCAGAATTTTAGCATGAAACTGAACTGCAATCAAGGAAACCGATGCATACTTTAAAATTTTATTCGTAAAGGAAGTGTAACCTAAGAAATGGAGAAGAAATGAAATCAATTGAGATTATTTTGGGATCTGAAGATAGAAACTACAACTACTCCAGTAAGTTGTTTCGTGCCAAAACATGCGAAGCAAAATAGAGACGTTGGTACAAACCCTAACTTTTACCATGCTCTGTTCTTGTGTTCTCGATATGAAAGTTCGAACTCTGTTTTTATGTAAATGATAGAGAATTAAGCAAAACAAGAAAGGTGAATGTTAAAGATACTAAAAACCTAAACGGTTCAAGGATAATGCAAGTAGAGCGCAATGCATAAATTTCGTGCCCTACTCGATTACCCTAAAATAAGCATCATAATTACACATTTCTGCTCATGTACCAAACCATGGATGACCAACATACGGGCAATGGCAACATCGCCATTCTTCCATATTTTTTGTCAATAGGGGAAGGTTTTTGAACAAGATTTGTATAACTAATTTTCAAAACTGCATGAACCGAATTGATGTATGTTCAATGTCAAATTTGAAATCTGGATTACCTTAATCCTCTATGATACTTGATAAACGACAGAATTCGTAAGTCTCTGAAATGAATTCACACACCAACAATCCTGAGGAAGGAATCTGAAATCAATCCTTGAAGAATCTTGCAATTATGGTGAAATCTTGAACCCAGATATGAGGATTTAGAGGATCGAGGAAAGAAGGTCGAGGGACGAGTGACGCGAAGGGAGGGATAGCACTGGTGGTGAGGAGGGTTTTTGACATTGTTATGCTTACGGAGCTACAACAACACTTGCTTATGTTTCCATGTTTACCCTTTGCAATAAGATCCCTAATTTAATCTTACAAAAAGAATTTGGTAACCATGGTTACCAGATACCATGTCATTTTATGTACACTGATTAATCTTTATATGTCAACAAAAAGTTAGAAGCCATCGGCTCATCGCAAGTGATTCTCCAGGGACACGTGAAATTTGGCAGATGAAATTTCCACTGCATTGTCTGGTCTTAACTAGGGGTGCTCACGGCCCGGGTTGATTGGTTTGGAGTGTTTTAATAACCCAATGTTGCCGGTTTGGAAATTTTCAACCCAACCCAACCCAACCCGTTCAGGTTGATCGGGTTATGTTTAAACAATGTAAAATCACATAAAAATAAAAGAAACTTTCCTTTGAAATACGACCGACCATTCAAGAGGTACATTAAAACAGAATACAGACTGTAATATATGAGGTACATTAAAACAGCCTGTAATTGAGGTTATGTAAAACAGAATACAGTAAATCGAATACAGACTGTAAAACTGTAAATCGAGCTGTAAAACATGTTACAACCAAGCCCACTTTCATACTAATTGAGGTTGTAAAACTGTAAATCGAAGGTATGTAAATCAATAAGAAAGTTGTCTAACTGTAAATCGAAGGTATGTAAAGCTATGTAAATCGATAAGAAAGTTGTGTAAAACTCTAAATCGAAGGTTGTGTTGTGTTACCTTATCTGTGTAAATCGAAGGCTGTGTCGCAAGTCGCAACTCACACACAACTTCTACTCGATGTGTTGCTCTCGCAGTCTCGCTCGCTGGCCGAACGCTGTCAATCGATGTGTTGCTCTCGCAAAGTCGCAGTCTCGCTCGCTGGCCGCTGCTACTCGACTGTATTGTGTTTGATTTGAGTTTAGGAAGGAGCAGAGCAGCTAGGTTAAACGACAAGAGGGTTCCCCACTTCCCCGTTCCCGTGTGTTTTGTTGCTTCCAATCGGGTCATCGGGTTGGGTCGGTATCCATTGGGCCTAAACCGATTTCAACCAAATAGAGTCGGGTTAGTTAATTTTTTAATCAATCAACCTTCGGTTTACCTCGGGTTAGTTTTTTTTTTAAAATCGGGTTGGGTTGATCGGGTTCATCGGTTTTTGAGCACCCTAGTCTTAACCAGTTAGTTACAGCTCAAATGGTTAACTGTAGAAAATTAAAACCAAACCAAATTAACTTACCTCGTCAATAGGGTTTGGGTAGGGTAGGATGCATGTTGACGTTACTTGTATCCATAAAGATAGAGACAGCTTTCGTAAAAGTTATCAGTTTGTGAATTTTTTTAAAGAGAGAAATGTAAATCCCGAAAGATTTTTTTTGAAAGTTTAGAAGATTCACACGAGATTTGTAAGGCTCTTGATATGATGGATTTTGTCGAGTGGCATAACAAAGTGTGCAAAAAGCAACAAAATTGAGCATAAAAAGGTCAGTAAGGAGCCAAGACAACAATGACAAAAGATGATGTGTATAAAAACATATTAAATGCATGCAAAAGGGCAATTCTCGTTAATGAATAAAAGAATCTCGATCCCTCTAGCTATCCTTGGGCACAAGGACCCTCTTACGTATCGAACAAATGAGGGCCCCACGACCACCCCAACTTCTACTTATTTACCCCCTCCAACTTGTTTTCTCCCATTACTGTACCTGATAGACCCAACTCGTAATTGGTGAATTCGTAGGTTTAATTCCTATGGCATTTACGCCGGTAGGACCCTCCAAACGAGCCTATTGGAATTAGCATATTGTAGGTTACCCCAATTTGTTGTCTTTCAAGTACACCTAGCTGATGCCGTGTCTTCAAAAAGCCAAAGATCGTCATGTTCAGGCTTAGTTGCTCATTACAAATCATGTTTGCCTTGCCTCTCCTCCTCACCCTTCCCTCCACTAAGCTCCTTGCCTCCTCACAGGTGTTGTCATCTGTCTCCTACGAACATCCCTAAACCACTGCAATTGTCCTTCCATCAATTTGTTTATAATGGGCACAAATTCTAACACATCTGTTGATCATCTCTCTCAGTGATTTGATGATAATCCCTTTTCACTTATATGTTGTATTTTTGTTTCTGTCTTTCTAGTTCCAGCGATCATCACTTAGCTTGTTCAGTGATCGCTGAAGAACTTGTATTGTAATTCAATCAGAGACAACGATACTTCAAGAAGACAACAACATTCGTGCTAAGCAAACTTCCTTTGATCGCTGAATGCTGGAATAACCTGAAGGTCTCTTCAGCATTCGCTGAGGCTTGAGCATTCTTCACACATATGTAGATAGCTCAAGTAAAGGAACTTTTCTTACAGCATTTCTTTTCTCTTTTGCTAAGAATTTGTGTGTAATCAAAGATTGTTTAGATAGGTTTTCTTACCTTATCTTACCGCAAACTGTCTTGTAAAATTTGTATTGATCTTCTTTATCAATATACATTTTAAATTTGAAAATATTGTGTTTGTATTCATCCCCCCCCCCCTTTTACAAACTGTTGTACTTATCTTGTAGACCCTCAATGGACCAACAACATCCAATAAGACATCGTTCGATATTCCAATTTCTTCGGCCCGGGGCTTCTAAGATCTCGTCTTTTTGCCACGCTTTACGTGGTTGGATAATGAACTTTCAAATTTATATTGGAAGCTTCTAATATCTCATATATTTTTTGGCATGTTTCCAAAGGCTAAAGTACGATCTTTCAAATTACGTGCACTTTGTGAAGTTCTACAATTAACTACCATCAAATCTGAAATTCATGACACTATAATAACTTATTGGTATAAGATATGTTTTGTCAAATCATCGAAACATGGATGGAACACTCGCACAATATGGTAGGCTGGTAGCAATAGATGCATTGAGAGTTTGAATTATGGACTTCAGGTTGACGCTTCTTCAAGCACTTTTATGGGTTGTTTATTTACCTCTTAATAGTTCTATTAAGAGGCAACATCTGAATCGTTAAGAGCTGAATCTTGTTTGACAAAAAATAAGGTTGCTTCTTAATGGTTTTAAAACCCTCTGAATGATTTTGTATCATGGGCCTCCCTTAACCCTTCAACACCTTAGGGGCTGTTTGGTTGCCTCTTAATGGTGACATTAAGAGGACACCTCTTAATCGCTAAGAGGCTAGAGTTGTTTGGCAAAAAAAAAGGACCTCTTAATGGTGACAAAAGCCTCTTAACCATTTAGGGGCTAGGGCTCCCCTCAACGATTCAGAGGGATCTGGTGACATTTTTGCCCTCTGCTGTGTCGCCTCCTTCCAATCGATCTCGTATCGTCTCCTCTCCTCTCCTCCTTCCAATCGATCGATCCATTTTTGCCCGCTGCTGTGTCGCCTCCGTCCTTCCACCATCTCCGTCCCCGTCTCCATCGTCTTCGTCTTCATCGTCTCCGCCTCCATCGTCTTCGTCTCCACAGTCGCCGTCTCCACAGTCGCCGTTCATTTTCTGGTCGAAACCACCGATCGAAACCACAGTCGCCGATCGAAACCACCGTCGCCGTTCATTTTCTGTATGAAATCATCGCCGATCGAAACCACAGTCACCGATTGAAACCACAGTCACCGATCGAAGCCCTAATTTCTTGTATGAAATCTCATGTTGAATCAAGGCTAAAAACATTAAAGAAGCACTGTCGCCGATCGAAACTACCGTCGTCGTTCATTTTCTGTATGAAATCATCGCCGATCATTCTGACGGATTGAAACTACCGTCGCCGTTCATTTTGGATGCTAACAGAACCTTGGTTTGGATTAAATCATATAGAGGGGTAAAATAGTAATTTGTTGTCATTAAGAGAATATTTACCAAACAACCATATTTCATTCAGTACTTAACCATTCTGACCACTTAACCATTCAGCAACTGCCAAACAGCCCCTTAATTTCATTGTAAATAATTACCAAACAACTATATTTCATTTTGCACAATATTATGAGAGCCTCTTAATCACTCTAACTACGTAACCATTTTGCACCAAACCATTCAGCAGCTGTCAAACAACCCCTAATTACTTCAAGTGTGTCGAGTATTTCAAACTTAGCCGCTTCGAAATGCTGTGAGCATGAAATTACTTGCCTCCACCATGGTCAAACCATTTAAGTCCATAAACGTATTCATATTTGACACACTTTACCTTATTCGGCTCAAGTGATTCCAACCTCTAATGTTATTGAATGTGAAGTTGAGCATGAAAGTTCTTTTGTTGATTTCAATGGAATTTTAAAGTTTTTTTTTGTTGATTGCGAAAGGCTTTTTCAGCTTTTTGGTCTATATTCATTGTATCTTCTAATATCCCGGAGCACCTCTCAAGGTTTAGCATGTGCATCTCTCATACCAAAAAAAAAAATCTATCTGCGAAAATCGATTAAGCAAGTGCACAGGACCTCCTTGGGCCTTCATAGGTCCGCCCGATCCATGACTCCTTTGAAGTTGGTTCACCTAAGTGGACCACCCCTCGCTGTAACATTTGTGGATCCTTTAAATACAACCAACGAAACTATTGATATTGTTGGTCGGGATTCTGAAGGATCCCTATTTACATGTCTCATAGAAGGTTAAATTGTGCATTTTCTTAGTAATTGAACTAACCGCAGTTTCGTACTGCATGTAACATTATCACCAACAAACTACGGGTTAATGTTATAATTATGTAAGGAGCACAAATAACTATCTCGTTGGTTTAAGTGGAGAATATCCCTCCATTCACCTTTGTAGCAATCGTAGCTGACATCAAATATTGGACGTCTTAATATAGCTGACAATTTTTATTGAAATTTTCATACATGTAATCGGTTTGTATATTGTGAATCAGCTTTCTTTGTTAAAAAATGAACAAAAATAATGCTTTTAATGTAATTGCAAGAATATAAGTGTCTAATAACTTTGATTGTTACTTTGTTAGGGCAACCCATGGAAAATAATTTCT